TAATAAGTTTAATAAATCGAATTTAGAAAACAATAATTCACAAGATTTTCTTAATGAAATTGTTAAAGAATTATGTAATCTGTATAATGAAGAAAGTTCTAAATACAAAAGTGATGAATTAATTTTAGAAATATTAGAACAATTCCTAGCCGAAAAAAATCAAAATCCAGATAATATTATCAATTGGTGCTTAAATGATGAAATAAATCCTACGGTTTAGCTTATTCTTGCAATGTGTTATTTTTTTGGTAAATGGGTTGATAAGGATGAAGATAAGGCATTCGTTTATCTTCAAAAATCGGCTGATATGGGTCATGCTAAAGGAGTATTTGAAGTTGGTAATTGTTATTATCATGGAATTGTAGTCGAAAAGGATGAACATAAGGCATTCATTTCTTATCAAAAATCTGCTGATATGGGTAATGTTCAGGGAACATATAATGTTGGTTATTGTTATAGAAATGGAGTTGGAGTTGAAAAGGATGAACATAAGGGATTTATTTATTATCAAAAATCTGCAGAGATGGGTCTTGTTAGTGGAATGTCAGCAGTTGGAAAATGTTATCGAAATGGATTTGGAGTAATAAGAGACATACAAAAAGCCAACTATTGGTATCAAAGGTAAACAAAGTGTTTAATTCCATTTTTTGATATGCATTCACTTAATAAATTTATATGTTAATTAAACGATTAGAGTGAAAGCTATAGCGCCAGGTAAGTTCCATTGCTAGTTCGATTTAAAAAAGTCATAATACAAAAACTTCTGGCTTTGAATCTATCACATATTAGAACTCTGACATACTACATCGCTAATTAGATTTTAAGTCCAGTAAAATAACAGATTCAAAGTCAGAAGATTGATTTTCTTTTGCCGGTACTCAATTATTCTTATGACTTAAAAAACTTGGTTATAAATAGTTTATTAACAAGAATTTATGATTACGTAATAGTCTCAGAAGAATGGATACTTAAAAGTTCAGACATTGAAGATGATTTGAAAAAAATATTGATTGAAAATAAATATCTGTTGACATGGATTCCTTATAATGAATTTAAAAATGTAGAATTGATAGGCGAAGGTGGATTTGCAAAAGTATACTATGCGAAATGGTTTGATAAAAGTCGTTGTGAAGAAAAACAATTTGCACTTAAAATACTTCATAATTCAAATGGCTGTAATGATGAATTCATGAAAGAGGTAAATTTTTATCAAAGTATTTAGTACGTATATTTAATTATTAATTATTAATTATTTTAAATTGAAATCTTTTTTTAATGATAAGTTGAGGGCATATTGCGATATTTGTCTTAAAAATCCAACATTTTTAAACTGTTTCGGACTATCAAGACACAACATTTCTAAAGATTATATTCTTGTTATGGATTATGCCTTTAAGGGTTCTTTACGTAAAAATCTTCACGATATAGTACAAATGGAATGGAAGAACAAATTAAATACTTTGGTTTGCATTGCATTTGATCTTAAAACAATTCATTCTCAAAATCTTATTCACCGAGATTTACATAGTGGGAATATACTTCAAAGTGATTTAAATAATGCATATATTGCTGATTTAGGATTTTCAATAACTGCTAATATAAAATTAGAGTCTAAACATGATGGAATTTATGGAGTTTTACCATATATTGCACCTGAAATTTTTAATAGAAAACCATATACTAAAGCATCTGATATTTACTCGTTTGGAATAATTATGTGGGAAATTTTACATGGAAAACCTGTTATTTTAGAACAAAAATCTAAATTAAAATCCAATTTACAGTTTCAATTACAAATTTGTAATGGTTTGCGACCACATATCTTTGAAGACACAGCTTTATGTTATATAGATCTAATGAAACGATGCTGGGATAAAGATCCAGAAAAGCGACCATCAGCTGAGGAAATTTACAATATTTTTCTTGAATGGCAAAACAATGAAGATATTTTATTGGAATTATCTAAGTACGATAAGAAAATACAAGGCATGACAAGTGAACATATCGATAAGCAAATATATATCGAAACAAGTTATAAAAGCAAACTTATTTTATATAATGGTAATTTTATTAATAAAATTTATCAAATATTTATTTAGCATTAATAATATTTTTCAATCTTTTTTTTTTTAGATAGTAAACTACACGATCTGGAAATAAATGAATCTGAATAGAAATTAATAAGAATTAACTGAATTAAATAAATTGGAATTAATTGATTATAAGTGTATAAAGTTACGGTATTTATTTTATTTGCGGTATATATTCAATTGATACATTTCTGCTTGTATTAGAGGTTCCACAACTTTAGCACAACTTTAGTAGAGATGTACCTCGCGTGAGGTCAAGCTAGCATATATTCACATCCTCGCGCAAAGTTATATTGCGTGATTTTGCGCGATTTTATGTAATAATAATATTATTAATATGACATAACAAGAACGTAATTATTTAATTGATAACTTCAAATTATCTTAATCGAATAAATTTACTTCACGCAAGGTTGACATCATTTTGCGCAAGTGCAAGGTGAGAATTTTATCTCACGTGAGGTATATCTCTAACTTTAGTCAAACTCCTAAAGAAATTTTATGAAAGTTTCTAGCTTCTATTCACAAATATTTTCATGATAATTGTAAAAATAGTTTTTACTTTATAAAATCTATATAAAAATTGATATTATGATAAAAACGAATAGGAACACAAAATTGCATGGACACGCGTTTAAACTACAAATTAAATCACAGGAGATATAATAAAAGCAATTAGATGTAAAAAATCTTTGCGTCTATTTCCTTTTACTTTTATTGCTTAATGTTTCATCAGTATTTCTCGCTCTTCAGCAGTTTCTGCATCTCTCTTTTTTTTTTTTTTAATATCTCGCTTTTCGATCTCTTCTTTTTTTTGTCAATTAATTTTTTTTAA